CGCGTCGTCGTTGCCCTTGCCCTTGGCGCCCTTGCCCTTGCCGCCATTGCCGACCATCTGCGCCGTTGCAGCTGGGGCGGGCTTGGAACAGCGCGCGCGCGGCGCGCGGGCAGAGTAGGGAGTCGAGCCGACAGCTACGGAGACGAGGGAGACAGAGAGAGGGAGAGAGAGATCCCCAAAGCTTTCGGATGAGATCACTGCAGAGGTTTCGATGGGGATGGGAAGGTTGAACTGTCTCAGCTGTGGCAAAAGGGGGGGGGGGGGGTCATCGCTCTGGAGGTTTCGATGGAGATCGCTCGCATGCACGCGAACGCGTAGGTGGACTGGGGGCTGGGCTGGACAAGTGCGGTGGAAGACGGCCTCGTCGCTGCTCCTGCCTCGCCCTGCTCCCCCCTCCTCCTTCAGCCCCATCACCCCCCTCATCCCCCTCCTCCTGAGGGCGGCCCTGGGCGCCCGATGCTTCCCGCCCCCACCCTCCCACCCTCGCCGCCGACAACCGCCGCCGCGGGCAACCGCACCTCCCCCCCCCATCGGCGACCTTCAGGCCCCCAGCGGCGGGCAGCGCCGCCCGCGGCAGCGGCGCCCGCCGAGGGGCGCAGGGGGCGGCACGGGGAGGGAGGGAGTCTGGAAGAGGAGGGAGGTAAGGTCGGACGACGTTAGGAGGCGCTCTTTTTCAACAAAACTGGCACGATCGCAATCTATGGGACGGGCAACTTACTCACGCTGTCACAGCCTTGGTGCCCGGGCACAGTGCTTCAACCGTCGCGTCGAAACGCAGACAGAACCCAGTTCCTCGGGCTGTTGTGGAGCTGTTTGACGGCTTCGTCGACGCCCGCTTCTTCTCCCGAGCGGCGCAGCACGCAAGTTCGCTGCACCAGGCGGGGATTGGCCTGCTTCTTCAAGAACTTGCAGAGCTTCCTGGGGCTCTTGTAATAGATCACACACCCACTCGGCGCCCGGGCAAGCGCTCGCAAAACGTGGGGCAGTGTAGGCAGGTCTTCCGCGAGAGCCTCTGTTACAGCCACGTGGTAGCTCTTGCTCGAGTTCCGAAGCTTCTCCGTGCACTGGATGCCTTTTGGAGAATCCCCCCGTGCAAAGTCAGTCGGCGCGGCGAAAAAAGCTCCCGTGAACGCTGCTACAATCTGGGCGGCGATGCAATAGTCGGTGTCAGTTGTTGCCGCCAAGACTACGTTCCCCCTCTTCCCCTGGGCCGCATGACGGGCAAGTTAGTCCAGGAAGCCCGCCGGGTCCTGGAACACCTTGAAACGCAAGCGCTGCGCCTTGTTGCGAGCGCCCACATCTACCATGCGAGCCAGCATGAGCCCAGCGGGGCGCGGGGGGGGGCAGCAAGTAAGCGTCGCGGCCCACAGCTGGCCTGGCACTGCGCCGGACTTTCTTCTCTCGGGTACTCCTGGCCTTGGCGGCGGCCTTCGCCCCTCCAAGATTGCGCTCTCGGATCTTGGCCTCCCGCTCGGCGACGGAGGCGACGACTTTTGCAGCGGGCCCGACTGGATCTGCGCCGCTCGCCTAGGCCGCCTCCAGAGCCAGCGCAGCGAGATCGGGGGCGCCCTCCGCGAGAAGGCGGGCGCGCTTGCTCGGGGAAGCGGCCGCCATGGCGTCGACGGCAGCTGCTCGCCTGCGCCCGAAGCCTACCTCTGTCCGACGTGCTGCCCCAGGCTCCCGCGTGCTCCCCTTGTCGCGCCTCTCGGCCCCCCTCAGCGGCACGATCTTCCCCTGCGCGACCTCATGTAGCTTGAGCACATGCCTGCACCAACGACTGGCGGCTGAGCTCTCGTTGTCGTCCAGCCACGCGCGCAGCAACCTGCTGGAGGGCGCCTGGTCCACGAGCGTGCACCCCTCGACGGACACGTCGAGGAGCCGCGCCCTCTCGGGGCAATGCACCTCCGAGAAACGGCGGAATCGCCTCTCCACGTTGCCCGTGCTCGTTTTCCATGCAAGGAAGAGCCCCACGAGGCGACGGCCGCTGGGGAGCTCGGGCCACTCCACCGCAGCGCGGCCCCAAGCCTGCCGCGCGGTGCCCCCTTCTCGATGATGCACCTCGGCACGCAGCAACATGTGCCGCGGCTGGGAGATCGCCCCCTGCTCGGGGAGGTCTGCCGCCTGGCAGATGCGCCTCAAACAGGCCTCGGCTTCTGTTGCATGCTCTGTTGCAGACAGGGACAGGGGGGGGCAAGCGAAAGGCTGTAAAGGCGTGCAACCAAGAATGCTCTGGCCGATATAGCTTCATGTTCTCCTTCACATTGGCCACGATCCCCTGCACTCGTCGAAGAGCCGCGTGGGCGGCTTCGCGGGCGCGGGGCTCCGTTCCCCAATCGCCGATACCAACGGTCTGGACGCCAGTGCCGCACGCGAACCGCTTCGTGGCCTTCAGAAACCTGAGGGTGACGCCAGCAAACGTGTCGGGGGTGGCCAGAATATCCCCCTGGACGAACAATGTATCCAGCTTGGAGAGGAAAGCGGCGGCCCTGGATTGAACGCTGGCAGCGTCGGGGTTGCTCTTGTCTCCGGTGGCGACCCAGGAGTAGTGCTCCGCGCTCAAGTCGGCCAGCAACCCCCCCAGGAGCAGGCGCGCACTGTTCTCGCCCACGAGCCCTTCCAGAATCTGTCGGGCGAGAATGCGCCGATCTTCGCCCTTCCCCTGGGACCCCACTCCGAGCGCCTCGAAAATGACTTCCCAGCGCCGGCCTTCCCGTGCTAAGGGCCTCGCCCGACTGTTGAAACGCTGGGGGGCCCAGCCGAAGTTTTTGGCGAACGCAGCGCCGTCTTCCACCAGCTGCTGCTCCCCGAGTGCGTTGCGGAACACGGTGGAGGTAGTCAGGAACGTGGCCAGACTTGGCGGCTTCTTACCCGTTGCCAGCAGCTCGTCCGTGGTCGTTATTTCGCTGTCTCCTTTCATCGAATTGGCCAGAACCTTCTGGGGCGAGGGAGACTCGCCCCACGCGTGAAACGCCAGCCCAGGGAACGTAGCTGTTGCAGCCAGGGGTGCACTTAGATCCGCCCCATCGCTGCGCCATGCCCGAGTCTCCTGTCGCACATGCCTGTGCAAGTCCCCGTCCAGCTCCCCGCCTGCCGTCTGGCACGCGCGACGGACGCACTCCTCCAGCATGGAAGCCTTGCCGTCGCAGTCCACGCCCCGCGGGAACTCCCGCATCCCGATCACCCGATCCACGATCCAGGGCCCTCTGGGGCTCAGCTGTTCCAGCCAGCCTGCCTTGAGACCGTAGCTTGGGAGGAAGTCCAAAGCCTTCGGGATCGACCACAGCACGGTGCCAATTTCGACCTGGTACGTGCGGTCGAGGCCGTCCGCAGCCAAACGGTAAACAGCACCATGTTTGAGGATCCTCTGCGTGCTGATCTTCTCGCGCTGAGCCATGGTGGTCACCAGCCTTCGGCTGCCTTCAGTCTCCAAAACTTGGCGGTCGCCCCCAACGAACGCATCCCGCCACACGTCGAAACTACTGAAGGAACTGTTCGTCTCCAACGTTGCACGGGTGGCGACCATTGCGCGGCAACCAGGGCGCTGGTCGGCGGCGCGGGCGACGGCGGGCGCAGGCGCCGCGGCGGTTGCAGCTGCTGCAGCTGATGCAGCCGCTGTGGGGAACACAGACACGGGGAGACCCTGGTGCGCACCTTCCGCTCGAATCCGCCCTTTCCACGCCGCTTCTGCTGCCTGGTGCCCCTCGTTCACTCTTCAGTGTTACTGGATTCGTCGCAGACATCGAGGCGCTCCACTTCTCCTTGTTCTTCCAAAATTTGCAAGCGCCGCAGGTGGAGACGCGCTCTGGGTAGTCGTGGCTGGCGACGCGCTCCTCCGGGGCCATGGACGACGAAGGCGGGAACTTCTCGACTACTTTGCTTGGGGAGGCCTTCGCCTTCGCTCTTGCAGCCGCGGCTGCCTCGCTGCTGGAGCCGCCGTCCTCTTCGGAGCCGCTGTCGGAGCCGCTGTTGGAGCCGCTGTCCTCTTCGGAGCCCGCTGCGTCGGCAACTCCGTCGGCGCCGTCGGGGCCGGACCCTACGTCAGCATCGGCGCCCGAGCTGTTGCAGCTGCCACGGCTTGGCGAAGCTGCCCTCGACGAGGCCACCGAGGCCGCGCGGCTCGACGGGGCCGCTCTCGACGAGGCCGCACGGCTCAAAGAAGCAGGGCTCGGGGAAGCAGGGCTCGGGGGAATCAAAGGAGAGGACGAGGCCGCAGGGCTCGGGGGGGCCGCAGGACTCGGGGAAACCGAAGGAGGGCTCGGGGAAACCGCAGAAGCGGACGACGACATTACCTTGAGCCAAGTCCTACGGACCACAATGGTGACGATGGTGATGGTGATGGCGATGCTGATGGTATTGATGGTGATGGTGATGATGGTGATGATGGTGATGGGGATGGGGATGATGGTATGGTGAGGGCGGTTGTGATGGTGATGATGGTGATGGTGATGATGGTGATTCTGGATGTGATGAGCACCACCATCATCACCATCACCATCGCCACCACCATCAGCACTACGATTTGATAACCACCATCATTACAATCGTCGTCGGCATCAAAACACAAAAACACTCAACCGACTCAACCTAATTGGCCGAGCTCTGGCCCAACTCTCGGCCACATAGGCGTTTTCCGCCGCCCCCGATTGATTCATCAGAGGGGCGCCTGGCTTTGCGAATGCCGCGCTAGGGTATTGGGCCCCTGACAAGCCCGCGCCTCACCAGGCAGCCCAGCGCGACCAAGCACAAGATCCAGATACCAGCCAAGATCACGACTGCAATTACTTCCCCTGGCTCGGTGGTGGCTGTGGTGTTTGATGTGGCCGAACTCGTGCCCGTATCAATGGTCGTCGTGGCCGTCTTGGTGGTCGTCGCGGTGGTGGTCTGTGGTTGTCTTGATGGTGGTCGTCTCTATTGTTGTCGCGGCGGTCGTCTCGGTGGTTGTCTCGGTGGTTGTCTTGATGGTGGTAATAGTGCTTGACGTCGCGGAACTCGTGGCCGTCCTGGTGGTGACGATGGTGCCGTCGAACACGTACACGGAGCCAGAATCGGCGCCCTGGTCGTCGTCATAGTAGACCCCCACCACCACGCGGGCCCCGTCGGAGCTCACGGCCACCGTGCATCCGAAACTGTCGCCTGCGGCCCCACCACTCGCCACAAGCTTGAGCAGCCTCTCGCCCGAGGTACCGTCGAACACGTGCACGGAGCCAGACCCGTCGTCGTCACCAGTGGCCCCCACCACCACGCGGGCCCCGTCGGAGCTCACGGCAAGCCCAAATCCGAAACCGTCGTACGCGGCCCCATCACTCGCCACAAGCTTGAGCAGCCTCTCGCCCGAGGTACCGTCGAACACGCGCACGGAGCCAGAAGTGTCGCCCCGGTCGTCGTCACCAAGGGCCCCCACCACCACGCGGGCCCCGTCGGAGCTCACGGCCACCGAGATTCCGAAACGGTCGTCTTCGGCCCCATCACTCGCCACAAGCTTGAGCAGCCTCTCGCCCGAGATACCATCGAACACGTGCCCGGAGCCAGACTTGCTGCCCCGGTCGTCGTCATAATTGGCCCCCACCACCACGCGGGCCCCGTCGGAGCTCACGGCCACCGAGATTCCGAACGGTCGTCTTCGGCCCCATCACTCGCCCACAAGCATGAGCAATCCTCTCGCCCGATATACCCATCGACACGTGCACGAGCGCAGAATAATCGCCCGGTCGTCGTCATATTGGCCCCACCACCACGCGGGCCCCGTCGGAGCTCACGGCCACCGAGATTCCAAAACGGTCGTATCCGGCCCCATCACTCGCCACAAGCTTGAGCAGCCTCTCGCCCGAGGCACCGTCGAACACGTGCACGGAGCCAGACCCGCTGCCCTGGTCGTCGTCATCATAGGCCCCCACCACCACGCGGGCCCCGTCGGAGCCCACGGCCACCGCGTATCCGAAACCGTCGTACGCGGCCCCATCACTCGCCACAAGCTTGAGCAGCCTCTCGCCCGAGGTACCGTCGAACACGTGCACGGAGCCAGACCCGCTGCCCTGGTCGTCGTCACCAAAGGCCCCCACCACCACGCGGGCCCCGTCGGAGCTCACGACCGCGATTCCGAAACGGTCGCCTTCGGTCCCATCACTCGCCACAAGTTTGAGCAACTGCGCGCCGCTGGTAGCCTGGCGCCTCCCGAACTCGGCCTGCGGCTCGCGAGGGCGACCGCTCGCCGAGCCCTCCAGCCTCGGGCGGGCCAGCGCCCCGCTCGCCGGCGACCGCGACCCGGCGCTCGGGGCGCCGCGCGCCGCCAGCAGCAGGAGCAGCGCGCCGACGCTGTGAGACGTGCGCAGGCGCATCATGCCGTCTGCAGATGCGCACAGCTCAAAAGAACGAGAGACGCCCGAGCGGAGCCCTGGGAGGCCGGCGACGGCCCCTCGGAACCTTGAGCCACAATTGCTTCGGACCATCCGCTTTTGGTTTTGGTTCTTTGTCCAGAGGAACTCCCGCCGGCGCTTCGGCCCGCCCCGCCGGCCACCCGAAAGGGAGCTCCAGGAGCTCAATCCCAGAAAAATCCCCCAAGACGGCTCAAGATGGCCTCCAAGATGGCCCCCAGGTCCGCCCAAAATGGTCCAAGATGGCCTCCAAGACGGCCCGAAAGAGTCCAAGATGCCTCCAGCTCGTCCAAAGAAGGCCTCAAGACGACCCAAGAGGCCTCCAAGACGCCTAGACTGCCTCGAAGACCGCCCGGACACGGCCCATGAGGGCCTGAAGTCGGCTCCGAGAGGGCTCAAAAACGGTTTCGGACGGTGCCAGATGGGCCAGGAACGCTCTAAGACAACCAAAGACTCCCTCAAAGAGCCCCCAGAGGTCCCCAAGAAGGCCAAGGAGGCCTCCCGAGAAGCATTCAAAAGGTCCACAGGAAGTTCCAACAAAGCACCCAGAACCCAAAAGTGCCCCAAGAAGCTTTCAACAATTTCCTGTTCCCTCCCGCTGTTTCCCTCTCCTTCTCCGTCTCTTTTCCCCCCAAATGTTCCCCGAAGGTGTCGAGGCTAGACTCGGGGAATACGCGGTCCGATGGCCTGGTCAAACTCCGCCTCCAACAACGCCCAAGATGCACCCAACACTGCCTCCATCGACTGGTTCCGATTATTTCCTCATGTTATTTTCTGGTCGCCGAGTAAACAATGCAGTCCGTTGCCCCACCAAGTTTGCGCAAATGATAAATTTCAGCGCCATCACACAAAAAGGCCAAGGAGGCCTCCCAACATGGCCCCAAGAAGCCCCAATATAGCCCCAAAGTGGCTTCCAAGACAGTCCCAAGATGCCTCCAAGACCGCAAAGATGGCCCAATAAAACCCTTCGCCCGAGAGGCTCCAAAGAGGCCTCTTCCTCCCTTCTCCTTCTTCCTCCCTCTCCTCTCCTTCCTCCTCCCCCACCGTGTTCCCCGAGCACTTTCCAAACCGATTCGGGAGAGACATGGTCCGATAGCTTGGCAGGTCTCTGGCCACAACGTTCGGCCACATAGGCGTTTCCAAAAAGGCAGGGGGCGGCGGCGATTCGCCGCAGGCGTCTTCGATCCGCCAGGCCTCGGTGTTTCAACTCTTGCAAAAACGAATCAACCACTTGATCGACACGTGCGTTCGCAGTTGTTTCAGCACCGAAAAACGGCGGCGCAAATACCCCCGCGGGGCGGGGGGGGAAGCAGAGGGGGGCGGGCGAGGCGAAGGAGGAGGAAAAGGGGGAGGAGGATGAGGACGCGGGGTGGCTGGCGGAGCAACGCCGCGAGAAAAGAGGAGGGGCGACGGCGACGCGGAAGATAAGGAAAAGGAGTGGGGAAACGAGGGCGAAAGAGGAAGAGGAGGAATGGGGTGGGCCAACTGGGCTCAGGCGGGGACAGGACGAGCCGGGGGAGGGGGGGGGGGGGGCGGCGAGGGGGGGGGGGGGGGGGGAGGGGAGAAAAGGGGGACTTGATTTGGTCCAGCATGTCCTATCACTCCTTCTCCTCCCCGCCTTCCCTCTTCTTCTTATTCCCGCCCTAGTCCTCCTCCTCCTCTCCCGCCCTCGCTCCCCCTCCTTTCCCTTATCTTCCGCGTCGCCGTCGGCCCCTCCCCTTTTCTCGCGGCGTTGGCTGCTCCGCCAGCCACCCCGCGTCCTCATCCCCCTCCTCCGTCCCCTCCTCCTTCGCCTCGCCCGCCCCCTCGGCCCCCCCTCCCCTCTGCCCCGCGGTGACATTTCTGCCGCCGTTAATCATTGCAGAAACAACTGCGGACGTAAGTGTCGGTGAATTGGTCGGTTCTTTCTGGCAAAAGTTGAAACACCGAGGGAGGGGGGAGGGGGTGAATTTTGGGGGCCCGGGCCCGTCGAAAACGGATCCGCTGGGTCCCAGGCCCCCTCGTTGAGCCCAGGATGGGCTCCCAGGGAGCCCCAGATAGCCCTGGATCGATCGAGGTCAGCCGCAACGGGGTCCAGTTTGCCAATTTTCAAGCCCTTCGCGTGCCCAATATGGATCCACGGCGTCCAGGATGGGCTCCTGGATGGCCAGGGAAAACCCGAGACCGCTCGAGATATGGCAAGCCCGATGCCGCTCGAAATAAGACGGCCTGGAATCCAGGTCGCAACTTCACGGGCCCTCGGGGGGCCCAAGATTGCCTCAGAACGCCCAGGGCGGGGCGCGAAAAAAAACGAAATGGCCAAATGTCGCTCGAGATAGGGCGACATGGAATCCAGCTCGCCACTTGTCGGGCCCTGGGGGATACCAAGATAGCCCCAGAGCGCCCGGGGTGGGCTCCAAGAAAGCCCCGAGGAGCACACGATCGCCTGATATAGGGCCAACTTGAAACCAGTTCGCCATCCCTCGGGCCTTCAGGGGTCGAAAAATGACCCCGGGGCGCCCAGGATGGGCTCCGAGAGGGCCCCAGATAGCCCACGATCGCTCGACGGCGCTCGGCTGCAGTGTTGCCGCGGAGGGAAACCAGGAGGGCAATGCCAGGAAAAAACTCTGATAGCCGACCGCATCCAGGCGTCTAGGTACTTCAAACTAGCGCCTGATGATTTCTTCCCGATTGCTATGCCACCGAAATCTCTAGCTCTCTAGCGCATACGCAGCTCGAGTTAAGTAAAGAAACCCATCAGCATCTGGAGAAATATCGGTGGAATGCAAATAGCTTCGCGGACCTAGCTCTGGTAATAGACCGTCTTCAGACCTCTAGATGCTTCAGACAAACGCCCCTGATGATTCTGAATCGATTAGGTGTGCGCACCAGCTCTGTAGCTATCCCACCGCTCGAGCTAAGTTAAGAAAGCCGACAACATCCAGGCCCAGGGCCGCGCCCCCCCCCTGTTTTGGACAAGAGGGGGCGCGAGACAAAAGAATCTCCGCGCGCCCTGCCCTGACGCCCTGACATCCGACGTCTCGACTTTCTCGATGTCCGATCCGCGGCCCCCGGAACGCCCGACGACCCCCCCGGGGCCGGTTTTTCATCCCGAAATGTTTTTTTTGGCGCCCCCGAGGCCCCGCGAGGGCCCCCACAAGCCGAAAATCGCCCAAAACCTTCGTCTCGAGTTTCTCGAGACGTCGGATGTCTGGTCGCGGCGCACGCGGGCGCCCGGCCCGCGGGCAGGAGCGGCGCGCCGCTCATCCGCGTGCGCCGGCGGCCTCCCCAACAGCCGCCGCCAGGGCGAAGCCGAAGTCGCCGTCCGGGCCGCCTTGCGCCGCCGTCGTCGCAACGCCGTCATCGCCGTCGTTGTCGCCGTCGGGCCAGCACCTGGGCGCCCGGCGGCCCCCGGCGTGCAATTTTTCACCCCGGGGCCTGGAAACAGCCCCCAGAAGCCAAAATAAAATTATATCTGGCGACGACGACGGCGACGAAAACGAGGCAAACGCCCCAACCCCCCTCGATCCTGGAAGTCCGGCTCGCGGGAAGCGCCAGGGGGGCCCCCGGGAAGGACATCTAGACTCCTACGCTGACGACCTCGGAAGGGAGCGATATGCATACATATCCCATGCCCCTGGCCAAGCCCATGGGCGACGGAGGCACCTGGCCGCCCGCTGATGGACGGGCCCGGCCCTTGGGCAGCGGCCACGGATCCCAGGGCGTGGCCAGGCGCCCCCGTGGCCCATGGGCCTGGCCAGGGGCATTGGATATGCACACGCATCGTCGCCCCACCTCTTGTCGTACGCCCGCTTGCACGTCTCGCAGCAAATATCATGGAGCCGCGCAAAGCGGGCGCCCGCCTCCCGACGACCAACCTCTGCGGCTCTCCGGTCGGACTCCGAGGCGTCCAGCGCCGCCCGCAGCTCGCGCAGCTGGGCAAGAAGCGCAGGCCCCCGCGCCCCCTCCTCCAGCCCCGCGCCTGCGCGGGCATGGCCGCACTCTCCAGCTACCCCCCCCTCCCCCCCACCTCCCCCCCCTACTCCTCCTCGGCCCCACGTCCTCCTCGTCGCCTCCCTCCTCCTCATCCCCCGCCTCCTCCCCCTCCTCCTCCTCCTCCTCCTCCTCCTCCTCTCCTCCTCCTCCCCCTCGCTCCTCCTCCTCCTCCTCCTCCTCCCCCCCACGCGCCTCCCCTCCTCTCCTCCTCCTCCTCCCCCTCCTCCTCCTCCTCCTCCTCCTCCTCCTCCTCCTCCTCCTCCTCCTCCTCCTCCTCCTCTCCTCCTCCTCCTCCACCTCCTCCTCCTCCTCTCCTCTCCTCCTCCTCCTCCGCCTCCTCCTCCTCCTCCTCCTCCTCCTCCTCCTCCTCCCCTCCCCCTCCTCCTCCTCCTCCTCCCCCTCTCTCCTCCCCCCCCCCCCTCCCCCCTCTCCTCCCTCCGTCGCGCGGGCTTGGCCAAGGGCAGTTATTTGCGTGATATCGACCGGGTCGACTCCCTGAGGGGGGGGGGGGAAGTGGGGGGGGGGTGGGTGGGATTTGAGGGGGGGGGGGGGGGGGGCGAGGGAGAGGAAGGGGGTGGCGGGGGCGAAAAAGACGCGGGGGAACGATACGGCGATCCCGGGATTTCGCAAGTATTTTCTTGCTCGCTCAATCGGCGATTTGTTCACAGAATATCGAGTGGGCGGACTCTCGTCGCAAACCCCCCTGGAATTCATGGGCGCCCGTCCGCGCAGCAGTGCGCGCGGGCCCCGCGGGGCCGCGCTGGGCCGCCTCGGGCCCGCGTTGGGCCCCTGTCGGCCGCACGTTCTTTTTTGGTGGTTTTGGGGTGGTCTTTGGGTTCCCTCGGTTTCTCCATGGGGTCTCGTGGGGCCGTCTGGGGTTTCCTTGGGCGCTTGGGAATTATCCAGCCTACATTCAGATTCTATTCCAGGGTGGGGGCGGGGGGCGTGTCTAGCTGACGGAAGGCCGACATGTGATAAATGGCTCGCGTCCGCGGGGGCAGTTTTGGGAAGTCGAATACGCGGCCCCCCTCTCAGCCGCGTCGGGGGGAGGGGGAAAG